CATCTCTTCACTTAAACACATGCATCCCCTAATCCCTTGTGAAGATGTTGTCATCCCATCTGGGGGCGGATCCCTGGGAAACAGGCCTCATGCAGTGCTGCAGTATTTAGTTCAGTCACTCAGCTGTGTGTATATGCATGTGTGTTTGTATGTAGAGTTCCATTACTAGCCAAAATAAAATGTAGGATCACTATTTATATTAAAAGACATTACCTTTTGGCCTTGAATCTGCCTCAGACTGAGTATACACAAAGCCAGTTTTTCTTGTTGTGTACTACTGGAACTGCTTTTTCCCTTTTGAGCAGCTTTTTGTGTCTGCACCCATGAGATCCTATCAGAGCGTTTCACTGCAGGCAAAGAACCAGAAGTCGACTTAGTATCAGGAATGTTTTCTCTCTCGACATTGAAGCGAGTTGAAACGAGGCTGCACGTATAAGAACGCTCCCAGGATCTATTGATTGGCTGTCACCTTTAAGCCAAGGCCACTTGCCAACATCTTGTAGCTCTGATATTGTGTCACCCTCTGCCTATTTCAGTGAGCTATGACACAAGGAGACCGGTCTTATAACTAGGAATTTTCGGTTCCTAGTTATATTTGCCTCATTGGCATGGTAAAACAGCTTACATAACCAAACCACTAATAAACACTTGGTCATTATCACAAAGTAAACTCCTTGAGAGTGATGCAAGATCACAGTGTCATGGTTTATTTTTCAATATTGACAGGCTGACTGTACATTTATACCTAAAAGAAGTCTATTTGTACATAATGACGTTGAGAAACAGGTTTTCTGATATTGTTTGTTAGCATTTCATTCTTTTTCCAGTTGGTATTTTTTTTCCAGTCATTGCTCTGTTGTTGAGGCGGTACAATCTTGCAGTAGGGGAAGGAATCTGCATTGACATAGGGATATTATATTGATATTTGTATCATGATACACTAATAATATGCTTTGTAAATGTATTGTCATTACAAAACGTTGATATATTGCGATCTTTTACCCAATTGTTTCTTATTCATCATTTGGCTTCTGCTTTAAGAATAAGCCATAAGAATAGTTTTAGTTTTGAAAGTAGGCACCTTGGTGTTGGTAAAAAAATACTTTAGGGAATAGCGTACCTTGGTTCAGATCTTTTGTCATTGCATGAAAACCCTTGTCTGCTATGCTGTATGGGTCGTGAACTGTACAGGTAGACCAACAATGTGTCCTTTTTTTTTTTTTTTTTTTGGTGGTCGAATAGAAATAATCAGTGTACACTGAGTAACCTATATTTTGCCTTTTCACAGACTTGTTGTGAGAATGGTTGTCAGTTACATTTTCCCCACGAAAATAGCGATAGAGATACCTTACCTTTAGACACAGTATCTTGAGAAAAAAATAACTGACAATAAATTATTACATTTTTTATTTGTTGAATATCTGTCCAGTTACTTTATTAAAGGACTGCGCCTTAGTAACCATATATTGCAAAGAAACATGTCTAAGCAGTTGTCATTACAGTAAATCAGCCTAGTTATGGGTTTCCTGAACTAACCCACTAACTAATCAATTTTGGAAATACATTGCCTACTGCAGAGGAATATTGTACCTTCTCCCCGCTCAGTGTGTTTTCTTCTCTAGTGTGATTGACTTGTGTATTCTGTACACACATGGAACAATAAGGGCATTCACTCTGTATTTATTTGTATGGTTATCACCTCTGGAACGTACACTCTCGAATACAGTAATGGGCAGTAGTTTCTAAGTATGTGATACTAAATGAAAACCTAGTGTATACCTTCTTACAACTGAAGACACTGTCTGGCAGAGGTTTTGGTGGTGAGGAATGGTCATTTGTGGTGACTGAGATTCGAGACAGACTGGATTTCAGTGAGTGGAAATGGCTCTTCTGGGGGCCCTGAGCTGCCATGAGATCCTAGTGCATCATGCATGTGAGAAAGAGTGACACATTTGAGTCATTCAGTTTCTTTCACTGTTTACTTAGTGAAAGGCGAAAGAGATGAGAAGAGAAGTGATGTGTGTGTGTGTGTACTTGAGAACAGATGGCAGCTGGTTAGCTGGGCTTGGACAAGGTAATTACCGTGCACTGTGTTACTTAACTCTTTACTGGTGCAATCTGTTGGGTTTTCTCTCTGTTCCATTCCCTCATTCGCTGAGAGACATTAAATCAGTTTTGCTCTTAAAATAATCTTGTCTAAATGAACTTACACTGGGACTCAGCTAAGCTTTCAGAGCAATTGATGTTGTGGTATTGGGTGTGCCTCTTGTTTTTAGTTCTCTTAACCTCATGCTCTGTTTCTTCTTTTCGCACTTTCGGATCTTTACTCAAACAAGGCAAATCAAAAAGGAAATGCACATGCTGAAGTTTAAATTTCGTTTGGCAAGTGAGCACCTTTTCCATTTTATCTAATCACACCTTCTCTTCTACACCTCATCTCAGTTGAGGTGTAGATCTGTGAATCATCAGTGCTGATTTCTAAGGCAGGCATCACTGTAAATATTGCTCATACTGGGTATTAAACTTTGATGTATCACACATTATTTGTGCTGTGTGTGGCATGATTCATGTAGATCAGGGATCTCCAACCTTTTTTACACCACAAACCAGTTATATTTTGAAAATATTCTCGTGGACCTGCTGGAGTGGGGTGGGATTTATATATATATATATATATATTTTAGTGGTTCAACTGATCATATTGTGGTTTTTGAGTCACGGATCGGATGATTTTTCAGATGAGCAAGAAAAAAAAATATTTAATGAGAATGCCGAGAAGGATTTTTTGACAATTTTATGTGTATGTATCTCAAATGCAAGGAGACGTGAAAGAGGAACTCGGTATTTGCACTCTGTCTGAATCACGTCTCTGTGCATGTGTGCACTTTGGGTATGTGCAGCTGCTGTGCACACCGAAAACAGCACGCGAGTAACGAATCGAGTTCTCGTTCGCTTCTTTTTGTGGTTTAAAATCGCTTGAACTTGTAAATTGGCAAATACGCTTGTGACGGTATCAAAATTTCATGTTGCGATTAATTACTAATGCTTTTATCATGGTATACGGTATTATCGCGATATTGAAATTTAGTTGCAAAAAAGTGTTGTCATAATAAAGTATAACAGGTTTAATAACTTTTTTTCTTATAACAAAAAGAAATTGAACATTTAAATACAATAAAGCAATACACAAAAAATGTATAAAGTAAATACAGATTTCACAAAGATTAAAGTGCAAAAGAATGATACCAGACCAATAGGTATCACTTTACAATAAGATCTCATTAGTTAACCTTAGTTAATGCACTAATATTAACAATGAGCAATAGCTACATTTGTTACAGAAGTTATTATTCTTTGTTAAAAAATACAGTTCATGTTAGCTCGAGTTCATTAAATGTTAGTTCGAGTTCATAAAATGACTGAACAATAAAGAATCAAATCATTTTCAAACAATAAATAGGGCATGTTGTAGTCCAGATTAAAATGTAAAAAAGTAAATAGCCTATTAAGTCTAAATATTTAAGTATTTGGCGCTGTAATGAGCACCATAGCAAATACACAAATCTGAATGGCTGTTTAAATCATTTAAATAGGTTTCAGAAACTCTGCGCAGCTGCTTTGTTTCCAGGGGTTTCCGGGGAAATGGCTGCATTTCTGCTGTTCAGCACCACCTGCTGTCAGAGAGTGAATGTGCACTTTCATTCAGTGCCTCACGTGCTTCTCATCCGTGCTTGTTAACATGAGAGTACATGTTTGTACATGTACATGTTTGTACATGTTTTACATCAGCTTGTAACACTCCAAAGAGAAAGGAAAACTTGAAATCGCATCATATGACCCCTTTAAAATAGTCCACCCCGTCGACCAAGCGGCAACCTTCCGGTCTCTCTCTTGAAACCAACGCGGAAGTGACTTAAACTGCAATTCATTGACTGGCCGCTAGAGACTGGCTCCAAAAGGGAGTCAATCCCATAGACTCTCCATGTTAAAATGCCCAACTTTACAGCTGAAAAAAAATGTGTTTACAGCCTGGTACAAAAAGTGGTTTTGGTCTATATAGCTAATTTTGCCCTTCATGACAACTGTGAGGGGGTGAATTTTTTTATAACTCATCAGTTTAAATTATATTAAGCCTTAAAGTTCTGCATAATTAAGGGCTTGGCCACTTGAGTGACAGGTGGATTGCCGCTGCTGTCACCACTGTCGAGCTTGGTGGGCGTGGTTTCAGCAACCAGCTCCACCTACATCCCGCCTCTTTGCACATTTTCGATTATCCGAGAGTAACACGCTGCCAAGATGGCGACAGCCCGCTCTGCCCACTTTAGGCTGCAAAAATGCAGAAACCTACGGGTGACGTCACGGACATTACATCCATGTTGGGGACCTCCGTAGATTATTGAGGTGTTCTATTACTTTCTTAAACCATCATATTTGAGATTTTCTGCATGCAGATGACAAAACAAAAATATCCCATAGACTTGCATATCCAGGGAACAGATTCTCATGATAGTTTGGGGGTGGGCTTTTATGTCTTGGGCCACTGAACATGCAACCAAAGCATAACATGCTAAAAACACTTAGGAAACACATAGCATCGCTTTGGCAGCCAACCACGTCACCCTTGCATATTGAAGCCATCTTTTGCATGGGTAATCATTACGCACATTTTCTTTCGAAACTGCAAGAAGTTTCTGAGTAAATGGATAATCTCTATGTTTATCTTGGACTGTTTGCAAGAAACATTCAGCACTTACCGCATATGTTTGTCTCACCGTTTGTAATATTAGAAGGTTTCCTAAGAAGTTGCCCAAGTGTTAGTCATTGGTCTTGTTTTGATAGCAAATGATAAGCAATACTTTCATGCTACTAGACTGGAATACAGATGCATGAAAAACACTTTCCATTTGCTTGTGTGAGCTGTGGGATGTGACAGTATGAATATTCTTGTTTGTATCATGGTGATTCAGGTTAGCCTGACCTTTGCTTTGCTTTTGAAACAGATTTCCTACCATGGCAGTGAGGAAGGAGGGGAGAGTGAAGACTCAGAAGGTGAAAACCAAGAGCTGGCACAGATAGACAGAGGTGTGTGTGTGTGTGTGTGTTCTGCTACATGTATATGTCTATAGCATACAGGGCTTCAACAACTAATTGATCAAATTTAAAATGTTACATTGATAATACATAGAATAACACATTTATATAAGTTACTGTTATGTTTCTGAAAGCAAGTTATTGAAATGTTGTCATCATTAAAGTGATACTTCACCCAAAAATGAAAATTCTCTCGTGATTTTCTCACCCACATGCCGTCCCAGATGTATATGGCTTTTTTCTTCAGTGGAACACATAATGAGATTTTTAGTAAAATAATTCACCTTTTTGAGTCCATGTAACACAAGTGGAGGGGTCCCTCAAAATTGACGCTTCAAAAACTATGCAAAATAATCATGACAGTATTCCATACAACCACAGTTGAGGTTGATGAATCAGTGTCTTCAGAGGTGAAACGATAGCTGTGTGTGTGTGAGAAAAATACAAATTATTTAGTAAATGATGAGAGAATTTTCATTTTTGGGTGGAGTATATCAATATGCATATCAATCAAACAGACTGAAACAGAAAGTGAGTGCAATCATTAGCATCGAAACAATATTTGTTCTTAAACATCAAAATTAAGTTTTAAATGAAACAAAATGAAAACCATATTTGCAGTGCAGCGGATGCTATGTTTTACACCTGTCCAATCCTACATGGTTTTAGTAGGATTACTAAACATGAAGTCTACATATATGGCATTAGCATTAGAGGAAACGATTTAGATTATCATTAGATTATAAAAAATAGTTATTAGTTGAACCTAATAGTCTGTCACATGCATAAACTTTGATCTTCTAGGTTAAAATCCCTAAACCATAAACTTTATCTGGAGTCCATATAGATATAGACCACTTGTGCATTTTAATCATACTTTAGTTGTACTTTCTCCCATAACAGTAGCTAAGAGCAATGAAAAATGGTTTGGCCTTATCTGTTATGGTTTGGCGTATCGTAGTTTATTGATTTGAGTCCTGTAAAGGGACACTTTCACCGATGGTGTCAAATTATTTTAAATAAGACATGGCAAGTTGAGGCGATATGAGCCACCGTGACCATTAGTGATGCAACAGAGGCAAGCATAGTTGAACAAATGAGCAGTGACTGAATATGACGTCTACCAAAAGGAGTGAAGACATTGAAGCGTACAGTAGTTGATCCACCTCATGATGCAGTTCAGTTAGAACGCAGACTAGCAACTAACCTCTAGCAATTTCATGTTTATGTTTCATGTTTCACACCTAACCCAGTGTGAAAAAACCCTTAAGAAACAAGCCATTAAATATCATTGTGCTCTTGAGCAAGACATGTAAACCCAAGATGCTCCTTGGGATTGTCCCTGTATTAAAGGGGTCATGAACTGCATTTTATAATTATTTTATAATGTTCTCTGAGGTTCACTAAAAAACATCATCATTTAGAAGTAATATGGTATCTTCTATCCTGTTTTTGAGCCTCTCTGCAGAACGATCTGTATATATTGGCGGGGCACATTCAAGACTCGCAAGCGTTAGCGCCCACTGCTATGATTGGCAAGCAGTTTTGCTTATTAAAATAACAGATGGACACTGCTGTGACGTACTCTGAAAACAACATGGGTCATTTGGGTTAAATACTCAGTATATATCAAACGGTCTGGAACAGACAATACAATAGTAGTAAAAACACGTTTACTCACACTTATGTGCGAAATTAGTGTTGGATCCAAAATGGTCTGACTATTTTTTTTACTTTCAGTCTCTCTGAAAAGCCTGCATCATATTGTCTTGTTTAAAAATGAATGTTCATGACCCCTTTAAGTGTATTTTAAGTTTAGATTTCGCTAAATGACATCCTTCTGCTATATTACACCCCCTGCAGAGCGCCGGCGGAACTGCGCCTTGACCCCTCTAGCTACTAGCCAGCAGCACAACCAGGGCATTCTTTCTCCCACCCAGTTACGGCGTCTCCGTTTATTCCTGGACCCAATCCTGGACCATCACAGTTCCGAAGAGGAGCTTGAGCGCATCGCAGGAGCTACGGCGGCCGAAGGGGGCCGAAAGTGGCACAGACATGGAGACATGAGCAGCGCCTCTAGTGACGAGGAGGTGAAGGACCTGTGTGGGCCAAATGAATCATCGGCTGGACCTCGCTTGAGCGCCACCTCTCCCAGCCCTGTTCTCTTCAGCTCCTCCCCTCCTCGAGCTCTCAAGCCTTCTCACATCCCAGCCCGCCTACCTGTCCGGCCCATCATTCTCAGCCACTTTGAGCAACCTTCCATGCCTTACTGGCGGCACCGGCCCGCTTACACAGGAGAACCTGGTCGCCCCAGCTTGGACCTAGAGAAAATGCAGCAGGTAAGAGACACTCAGTTCTTACTTAGCCAGCAAGAGGCTTTGTGTGATTTTGCAAGGGAGGACATCAGCATCGTTTGTTGGTCCTTGAACATCATATTCTTTAAACAATTGTAGTCTTAACTCTATGCTCAGCTTTGCCTTAAAATCAGAGGAAAATACAAATGTTGATGAGAATGTAGAAGAAACCCCTAATCCTAAAATCTGATTGCTTGATAGGACTGATTTTCCAGGACATACAGATATAGATATACATCTAGAAACACATTATTAGCAAAATCAGTCACCAAGAAATGTTTCCCGATAGGGATGTGATACCCCTATATCACACTCAACAGAACTAGGAACATGGTTACTTACAAATGAATGAATTATGACTTAGTGTGGACAAAGACAAAAAAGATGGGGGCACTCTGCCTTTTCAATCATGGGACAAAAGTGTGACTGTGAAAAATGAACACAAAGATATTGTGAACTTTGAGACATACAGCAAATGGGTAAACAAATAACACAGATCAGTTTAAACAGATATTCCACCCAAGTCTGTTTACCTTTCTTTTTCAACACAGATTTTTTGAAAAATAATCCATCGCTGAGTCTGGATAATGCAAGTGGAAGGAACCCTCATAGCTAATGCTTCAAAAACCAATGCAATGGTAATCCATACGACCCCAGTTGAAAAATCAATGATAAAATCAGTTGATAAATCTTATAAAGCGAAGAAATATATGTGCATCTTAGAAAAAATACTAATGATGGGAATGAAGCGACAGTTTACAGTTTAAAAAGTTTAAAATATTAGTATTAATATTAATATATTTCTCGCACACAAAAATTACAAAACAGGTATTTAGAGACTTAAGTCACACTTAAAACATGTTTTAATATCAGTGAGTGAGTGAAGTGACGTGGCCAAGTATGGTGACCCATACTAGGAATTAGTGCTCTGCATTTATCCCATCCAAAGTACACACACACAGCAGTGAACACACACACCGTGAACACACACTGTGTTTTTGCTGCGGCGCCCGGGGAGCAGTTGGGGGTTCGGTGCCTTGCTCAAGGGCACCTCAGTCGTGGTGTTGAAGGTGGAAGAGAGCGCTGTACATTCACTCCCCCCACCTACAATCCCTGCCGGTACGAGACTCAAACCCGCAACCTTGGGTTACGAGTCTGACTCTCTAATTAGGCCACGACTTCCCCGCATGTGAGGGGGCATTAGAAACAAAGTATTAGATTAAGTGCCATTTATTTGAAATAATTTTCCAAGCAGAATATTTTGCCAAAGGTTCAGATAAATCAATAGATACGTATAATAGATTAGAATAAATTATTATAAATCAGTAAGCACTGTTCTCTTTAAGACAAAACTCTATGGACACTTTTGGTTTCTTCAAAAGTACTGGAAACTGTGGGTAATCTGCATAGACACCTGTATGAGCTTGAGGGGAAGTGACTTCATACAGCCATCAAAAAATAAATAAATAAAACCTTAGGACCAGTCATTGTGACAATTCATTGGAAAAAAAGAAATACTACTTAAATGCTTTAATTCCGAATACCATCTTAGATTACTTTCTGGTGTAAAATCTCTTCAGAATAGTGTTTCAGACCAACAGTATACTTGTTAACTCAATGGCTGAGTTTGAAAACAATGCAAGACAAATGCACACAACTATACTTAGTCAGACAACTCCATGTGCTCCAGGGCTTTGTGCCCACCACCTCCAGAGAGAAAGAGAGGATGACAGATGTCAGCCCCCTGTCTCACTTTAAACAAAAGCCCAATGGAGTGAATCTGTGAGTGAATGAAACGGCAAAGTAGGACAAGTAAACCTAGTATTTTTGTCTTCAGGTGTACATATATACAGGCCAGATTGTGCCAGGTGGAAAAAATTGATATGTGGAGACAGAAAGTGGAAAAAGTTGAGAACAGAGAGAGAGAGAGGGGAGTAGAATGACCATATGACTCTCAGAGTGCACTGTGTGTGTGTGTGTGTGTGTGTGTGTGTGCTTGGTCAAGTGGAATGGGAGGTGTTGATGGAAAAACAATATGGGAAACTATTCAAGTTAGCTGCTAAATGCTCATTTAGCTTTAATGTTTAAAAACCAAATCCATTTTTAACTAAAAACATACTCAAAATAGTAAGTCATCATTATTGCCTGAAGTTGTAAACGTGTCTAGCCTCAACTTACTACGTATCGCACGTTTAATTCTATACGACAGCTGTTATGGTAATATGCTGTGCTACATTTGGCCTAGTGTCGTGTTAGTTTTTCATTATTAATCCTTACCAACTAATCCATTCCTGCACATATGCAGTTACTCATATCTCAAACGCAGGGGTCCAGCTATTGTTCGGGTGAAATGAATGGTTTGTCTGACAGATGTCTAAATGCTGCCCTCCATGGTTGAGTGAGCTTAACAAACATTATCTCCTTTTTTGGGAACTTTGAAATGAGGCCGAGCTCATTTCAAACTCCACTTGGGCTTTAACCATGGCTGCCTTCCAGTCACGCAGATCTGGACAATTCCTGGGTTGTTGTTTTTTTTACCGGGATTTTCCCTTGTAGAACAAAGACACTGCTTGAAATGTGCATTAATCTTCCTATAGGTTTTTCTCATAGATTTATTACTATATACAACCTCTAAAAAATGTTGGTTGTTTTTATGGTAACGGAAAACCCTGTTTGTAATATAATAGATTTATAATAGAAACAGAGGGATATTCCATCATCATTAATGATGGGTTGCCATTGTTGTGTATGACATTCTTTCTTTTGTGGAAATGAAAAAAAAATGTTTTGCAGCATTTTCATGCTGCTTTTTTTTCTACTGAACAAAAGCATAAAGAGTGAATGAGATTTGAAGTTCAAGATAATCAGTGACTTAAATGTTGTCTGTTCCTCGTATTTATAAAAATGAATTTAACGCATGAGTCTTTTGGACTACTTTTATGAACTGCCTTTTGTCCATTGACAGCCCTGGTCCTTGATGGAGCCTGAGCATTCTGCTAAACATCCCCTTTTTGTTCTTCAAAAGAAAGAATATCACACGGTTTGAAATGAGGATAAATAATGTAGAAATTGTTTTTTTTGAATCATAAAAGTTTTGTATCTTTGAGGATCACTGATTGTTTTTACTGTAATGATCAGATTAGACTGTTAAGTCCTAAGTGCACTGTTTTTAAAACGAACTGTAAAGAAACAGAGTTAACCTCTGTTCTTGAGTCACCAGGTCTCAGTTTAGCACTAACAGTAGAGTTCTGGGTAAGGAAAGCAAACAGATTTCCATGGTTGTCCTGAGGGGGTGGCCCACAGGATGTTTTGCTCTGTTACATAAAAGACTGATTTGTTTTGGTAGCCACAGTAGCCCAGAAATTCCAGGGCTCTTCCAGAACAGCTCAAGGGCAAAAAAGCAGTAAATGTTTATACTGGCAATATGAAAACGTGTTCCTCATTGTGCTGTTGTGTGGAGTTTGGCTTTGAATAGACTTATGGAAGGCTTATGTAATTCCTTTTAACCACAATTTCTCCTTTCTGCTTTTTGTTTCAGAAAATGCTTCTAAAGAAGAACTGTGGAGGAAAAACAAGGACTATCAAGATTCGGGTGAGTGTGTAAAAAAAAAAAAGGTCTCTAATACAGTGGCCCCAAAAAAGTGTGTCACTGCAATAGTTAAACAAAATATTAAACCTAATATTAAACAAAGGTGTCATTTGTTCGCACAAGCACACTTTTCAAAAATACAATTTGACAAAAAGAATTACAAAAGATATATATGCAATTCAAAATCTTGTAAAGCATGTTTATAGTTAATGTGTTGAACTTTTTGTAACTGCAGTGTTTTTGTAATTCCGGTCTTGGGTCAGGTTTTATCTAATCAAACAATACATGATTTCTTTAAATGAGGGTGGGTAGATTTCTTTATAAAACATGACATGTGAGCAGGCCTTGTTTCGGCAGTGCACTGGAGCTTCACCAAAGCGCACCCGCTGACCCTCATAGCCATGGTCGTGGACCCCGAGTGTTTTTTTGGCCCTCATCCCACTGGTCCAGAAGGCCCGAGCTCAATGATGCCAGTGTGTGACGTCATTATGAGCTCGGCACCTTTTGGACTGCAGAACAGTGTCTCCTGCTTGCCTCCTACAGCCATGCATGGCACAGGAGCTGGAGCACTCTTGGGCAACCCTGGCTACAGACCAGGAGTCAGAGAAATTAATTAGAAACACAATCTGTGTCACCTCTTAGGGGCCCCTTACAAGAAGAAAAAAAAGATATTAATACCATTGAATTTTTTGAAATACCTTTTGGTAACATTTAAGTCTCATTTTCACAGAATGTTGCAGCACTAAAATGTTATAATAAAAAAAAAATCAATAAAAAAATTTGAAATGCTGATTTACCTCCTGTAAAATGTTCTGTTTGCAAAATAATTGTTACGTAATTGTCGGTCTCTACTGAACATCCAGAAACCTCCATTTCATCTGCAGGAGATTGGATGACCATTTTTATTAGATTAATGGAAAGAGGTGAGGAGATGAGCTAGGGATGAAAAGGGAGAGGGAGAAGGAAGTGTGCGCGTGTTCGGATGAAGTCATTTTCCATTTATAGAGTGCCGGCTGTTGCAGGATCTACAGCCATAGAGAGAAAGAGGTTCATCGCTTCACTCCTCTGCTTTGTTATTGTTTTCAACTTTCTTTCACTCTTCCCACTCTCTTTGCTTTCCCACTCTCTTTTCCTTTGCCTCTTGTCCTTGATTGCTGACTCCATATTATCATATTATGTATATCTGTTTGATCAGACATGCTCAAAAAATCCTCCATGGGTGGCCGCATCTTCTGTTCCTTTCAGGCTCTCTATTTCTTTTCCTTCTCCACCACTTTTGCACCAAGCTTATTATTGTTTAGTATTTTCACATTTTATTTTAAGTCACTCACCTCTAAAAAAGCAAAACCTTTTATATTTAACTTCTCCAATGTGAATGCAGCAATGTAATCGGCCATATATTCCACAAAATTATGCTGTTACACCAGTGGTGTGCAGTGTACTAAAATGAGGAGGCAAAGTCCACTTTCTCATAATTTTTGTAGTCCAATTTAAATTGGTGTTTTATTTCTTGTTGATGTTTCTGTGTTAGACACATGGGAAAGCATGGGACATACCTTATGCTTGGAACAAGCAATCAACACCATGATATATTTGTATGGTTATATCAACATACTTTTGATATGCTGGGATAGGCTTCAGCACTCCTTGTGGGGTATAGAAAATAGATGGATATTAACATACTACTTATTAGTCACATCAGAGTCTTATAATGTTTATGTTTACTAAACAGTGATAAGTAGACATTGATTCCTCTTACATAACTTCTGTTCTGTATTTCTGCTTTAAAATTAGACCACACTTTATGACCTCAAAGACAGGCAAAATATTCATAGTAAAATATCCATTGTAGTAAACCATCCAAGTATTTGACTATTTCATGAAAACCAAGGATTCAGAAGAAGTATGTCTGAATTCTTAGTTTTCATGAAACAGTCAAATACTTGGATGGTTTACTACAATGGATATTTTACTATCCGGTGAGACCATGGGAGAGAAGTTGTGAATAGCAGTGAAGTAACTCAACTGACGTTGTCAGTGTTTTTCATCAGTTATGAAGCAAGTTCAGTTTTAGCTGTAACCCAGTTTTACAGAAGACAAGTGTCATTATTCAGCTTGATTGAATTCAAATTTTTTTAATTCGTTAAATAAATGTCAAATGTTGCAAAGTTTATCGGTTGTAAAATGAGTTTAATTAAGCTGCACTGTAAAAAATATTTTTTTTAAGTTGTAAGTAAACATTATTGGAGTGTTTAACATGAAAATTCTATTTCAGTCTTTCTATGTCACAATCAATATTACTTGCCATTTCTTTGTAAATAATTGTGAAATGTACTAGATATTTCTGAGTAAATGTTGTTTCTACACCATTCTTTTTTCAGTTTCTATGCAGCTCTACAGAAGGCAATAATGTCATTGCATTGCAAAGTTAGTGACATTATCCAGCTCTATTTTCATCTGATAGTGTGGTTAAAACCATAATATTACTGAATATTAATTGTCTATTAACCCCCTAAGCCCCTAATTCATACTTTTTTGTTTGTTTGATTAATTTCTCATTTATTTCAGTTTGTGAAAATATTTTTCAAACAGTAGTTTGTCTTTTTGTTTCTAATATACAAAAATAACCCTATAATAATACTTCTCTCCCACTCACTCTCCCCTGTCTATCCTTTCCCAACTGCACATGTAGTGGTTGGGCCCCTCGTTTTATCTCAGAGCCCCTGTCTCTCTGCTGGCCACGCTCCAGGTGAGCGCTAGAGATGGAGAGGGAAGTGGCTATCTGGGGGCCTGTTAGGGGAGAGGAAAAATCATCATGGGGATTTGAGGTCTGGGACATGACCAGAGAGTATGAGGGCTCAGAAACAAGAAAGCAGTGAACCAAAGAAGGAGAGAATGGGAAAAAAATCCATAGTGGATGAAGCCAGAGAAGACAAACAGTCTCATTGCCTGGATGAGTTTTGGTCCAAACTTGTTGACAAGACGTTATGGGGTTGAGGGGTTAAATCTTTCCCATGTATGAGCGGTGTAGTGTGTAGTGTATGGTTTTAAAATGTACCCGTAAAGCCTGATCTATTTGTTATTATTAGTTTATAATAATTAGTCTTCCTAAAGTTGCAGGTATTTGTCAGTCTGAAGGCATGTGGAGCTATTTAAAGGGGTCATATGATGCAATTTCAAATTTTCCTTTCTCTTTGGAGTGTTACAAGCTGTTCGTGAATAGATAAGATCCCTAAAGTTGCAAAGACTAAAGTCTCAAACCCAAAGAGATATTCTTTATAAAAGTTAAGACTCGTCCACTCCCTCCTAAAACGCCTCGTTTAAACACGCCCCCACATGTCTACGTCACTGTGTGAGAAGATTTGCATAACGCCGCCCAAATGTTCACGCAAAGAAAGAAGGCGTAACTTTGATTCTCGCTGTAGTATCGTTGCTGCCGCCGCCACCATGTCGTGGAGACGCTGTGTTTCGTTGTGAAAGCGAAACTACTTTGTTTGGTCTTCCAAAAGAGGACACAACTAGAAATCAGTGGTTAAGTTGTTTACAACACTTTTCCAGAACAGTTCAACCCAAATATTCAGATGTGTGCAGCGCATTTTATGGAGGACTGTTTCCTGAACCTGGGAGAATAGCCTACAATGCGTCTGTGCACAAAGGCTGTTTCTATAAAGTGGGGCAATTCCAACTTTGCAAGGACAGTCTGGCGCTTCTGACTCACAGCCTGTAAGTACGTTTTCATATTTAAAGAATTTGCCACTGATGATTCAAACGCGAGTTTTGAGCAGTGTAGAATAGCAATTGTTGTTTGTCGTTTCTCCGATCACAAATGCAGACATGGTTTTATGTTTACGCAGCGCGATATGCAATGCAACGCATAAAAAGACAGTTATAAGTCATTATAATCTGTAATTATGTCCCCACTGGATGCAACAAATGCCTCGTTTGTAATGGCTTTTATTGGTTTTGTCTCGTCGCGCCGGGACACGGCATCACAGTATGGTAAGGGGCGTAACATTTACGTCATACGCTTGTGGCATCCGGCCAATCACAACGCACTGGATAGCTGGCCATTCAGAGCACACCTCGCTTTTCAGACCGATGAGTTTTGTAAAAATCAATAGAGGAGCAACAATAATGTACAGTTTTTTTAACCTTAAACCGCATAAACACATTGCATTACACCAAATACACCAAATAATGTTCTTTTTAGCAATGTCATATGACCACTTTAAAACATAAAAATAAAGGAAAGTATTTGATAGTTTGTCATTTGCTGTTAGGAATGCATGGATGAAACCAGTTTAAAATGATTAAACTCCGAACATTGCTTCCTGAAGGGAGATTCATGGAAAACAGCTGCTTGTAGAAAGTAAATGGAATTATGTAGCACTGCAATGAAACCCTTGAGGCCTCCTTTTTTATTTTGATGAAGTGTTGATCTGGCCCCTTGATGGATTTGAAAACCTCAAACAGAGTGGCTATTTGACAGGAAAAGAGCTTAACCTTGTGGTACATGCCTATATATCTTTGTGAGTTGTGCAGTTTAAGCCAGGCTAGATTTAGCTGGCCATATGTGAAACATATTAACAGCTTCTTTCATTGCCCAGGACAGGAACTCCTCCTTTCTCTGGGGTTTTTTCAGGTTTTTGCTCATTTGGTTTTACTCAGGTTTTGTTTTAAGGATCATTTCAGTCATGTAAGCCGGTGATGATACACTAGAGGAACATTTTAGTTTAAGTTTGCCATGTTACCCATAGTACATGCAAGTTAAAGAGTTTAACATACAAAGATTCCAAGAAAATAGTTTAGTGAATTAATAGTAATACGTTCTTTATTAGTCAGATTTAAACTTTTTTTTTTCACAACTATGGTCGCAAGTTCCATAGTTACTAACAAAGTTCGACGATTATGTTTTTCAAAACCATAGTTCCAAAAAACATTCGCTAACAGCTTTACAAATGTGTGTGATTGGATCTACAGCTCTTTGATTCATTAGCAGAAATTGTTACTCCCCCACCTACATGTCATTGATGACCAGTGTTGGGGAAAGTTACTTTTAAAAGTAATGCATTACAATATCGCATTACTCCCTAAAAAAGTAACTAATTACGTAACTTAGTTACTTTTTATGGAAAGTAATGCATTACGTTACTTTTTAAATATGAGCAGGGCTTGATTGTTTTTCATATAAGAAGTTCTATTTATAGCAAATGTAAAAGCCCTTTCACACCAAAAAGTGTAATGAATAAATCTCAGGCTGAAGGAAAAGTAAAATCATGTCTGTACAGTAGAACACAGTAGAAGAAGGTTCAACACTCTTCAGCCATAAAAAAAACAATGAAGCACAATTGTTAGTTTATCTAAAGTCATTTTTGCTTATTAGTATGGTTGAACTGGATCATCAAAGGTCAGCAGCAAAGACAATATTTAATAAAATGGGATTCGATACATTTGTGTTATGTTAACATATTTAATTATTGCAGGTTTGCATCATATTCTGAGTTTGCATTTCACTGTTTTAATTAATTTTGATGAATACGGAATCAGTTTTTTTGTGAGTGGGATGAATTAATGCATATTCACATTTAGTCTAGAACTACATCATGTTCACACAGCGCACACAACGCCTCTATACTTCCGATTTCTCCCAATATGGGGACAGGAGACTTGTCAGTCAATAAATAGTAAACAAAGTAACTGACGCCAGTTGTAATAAGCCCCGAGAAGCCGTGGTTTACAGTGAATTTATAACAGCTAAGGGGGTGTTGTTGGGCACGATGCAAAGCGGGCTTCTTGCTTTATTCAACATTATTCCACCAAAAATCTGTAAATCCAAGTAGACGACCAAGAGATGATGGTTGGGCTGACAAATAGGCAAACTGATTGGAATGGATTGCTTATGTTCCACAAAAATCTCCAGTATAGTATTCTTTCATAGCAAACTGTGGTAGTAGTCTTTCTGTCAGAAAGTGTGAAGGTGGATTGTATCGATATTGCTTTGTACTGTTGTGTAACACATCCTCAATATTTAATTTTGTGCTAAATGTTCTCACAAATTCAATACACTGCACTGCATTGGAAGTTGTGGGGGCCATTTAGGGGTTGAGATATAGTCAAATTGCCTTCTTGCAGATGCCTCCCTCAGCCTAGACCAGGGGTAGGCAAGTTCGGTCCTAAAGAGCCGCAGTCCTGCAGAGTTCAGCTCCAACCCTTAAAAAAAACTCACTCTTAAAAATAAAGGTGCTTCACGATGCCATAGAAGAACCTTTTTGTCTAAATGGTTCCATAAAGAACCTTTAACATCTGAAGAACCTTTCTGTTTCACAAAAGGTTCTTTGTGGCAAAAGAAGGTTCTTCAGATTATAAAAAGGTAAGAAAGAGATGACTGAATGGTTCTTTGTGGAACCAAAAATGGTTCTTCTATGGCATCGCTTGAAGAACCTTTTGAAGCACTTTTATTTTTAAGAGTGTATAGGCTTAGTAATCCTGAAGACATTGATTAGCTTGTTCAGGTGTGTTTGATTAGGGTTGGAGCTGAACTCTGCAGGACTGCGGCTCTCTAGGACCGAACTTGCCTACCCCTGGCCTAGACCATCACAAAGGGGTGCTCAATAGTACCATTTCTGAATCATAAAATGACGAATGGTACCGCTTACAGTCTTGTAGACTTCATGAACACTCACTAATAAATCAAATACAGTTTCTTCCCACTTCAGCTTCCAGTCACCTTCATATCTTTTTTTTTGTTTCTTGTGGTTCCCTCACAGAACCTGAGTGGTGGCCGTCACGCACCCCGATATTCCTACGATCCATCCATCTTCGCTTTCCGCCCTCTGAGCAACGCTCCACCCTGCAGCCCCCTGCTCCCTGCCGAGGAACCTCCGTGTGCTTGAGGGAAAGGACTGGAAACTCGCAGAGACAAAACATCACAAATCTGTGGACCAAAAATTCCCAACATAAAGACAATGTTTGTTTGCATTGCCTTTTATTTTGCAGGATATTAGTGTGAACAAAAGCCCTATGATAAGGCCTGTTGACAAAACAGGAAGTGTGATCAGGGCCAGAATGTAGAAGAGGAATGAGGAGACGGCAACCCTTTGCCTTTAGCCGTCTCATCCTCTTTATCTCTCAGGAAACCCACTTAGAACTTATTATAACGACAAGGCCATGACCACTGCACTTTTAAACATCTTTTAAACCACAATTAAATGGTTTGGTTTCTCTGATGTGTTTAACGGGAGTGAGCAGAGATTAGTCAGTGGTTCGTAGATAACGTCTCATGATTGGGCCACATGGTTATGTTGAGATCATCGGATTGAGAGTAAAATGTAAGACCACATTTAGATTGCATTTGGTTTTGACAGCAAAATGTGATGAGAGACAATCAGTTTAATGCCAGAATGGGCCTTAATTAATTTTTGATAAAATAGGTTTTCGATCTATAAACAATGTGAAAGCTAACAATCACATATAATGACAACACAGGCCAGATAGTCCAAGTCATTGTTCAACTTCAGATGTTATGTAAGTCTGACCATAACAATGTATCAGTTATCAGAGCTGATTATCTGATGTGTATTCCAAAGTAATTAAATCTTAAGTGAAGAACGAGAAGAAGAAGAAACACTATACTTGAATCGTTCAACATCATATATTAAACATGCGCCTTACTATGTAGCATACATATATATATATATATATATATATATATATATATAATGTTAGTTTGTGTTAGTTTGCATTGATTCATTTCTGGGGAAAAAAATCTTCTGGTTTATTAATCACACTGGAAATAAAAGGTCAAGTTGAACACAGTGTACTGTGGGATATAGTATTCTCCAGAAAATGTGCATACTATTCACACTATACGAATAACATACTGCAAAAATAGTAAGATGAGTATGCTAGTATACTATTCCAAACATAGCCTGTTATCCTTCTGATGTGTAAAAAATGAAGTACAGAACTCAACATGTGATCTTAAATAAGGACAGCAGGAATCCTATCCATGCAGTATATTTCAGAACCAGTCCTTCTGAGGATTTTGATTGTGGATGTAATGTACTTAGCAGCATACTTCAATACTTTTTACTGAATGTAAACTGCAGTTGTAACCCGTGTAAGGGTCAATAAGCTAGGCCAACCAGAGGGTGAACAATAAGGACAATTGCTTGTAGTTGCATAAGTTTCACCTAGGTGTTACGTGTATCTATGTGAAACAAATACAGTATTTTTGAAATATATCTATAGGGGCATATAGTACAGTACATGCTTGCAACATGTGAATATTTGTCCTTTTCTGTCTCTATACCTCAAATGAGGGGAATAAATGTTTCTTCCCAGTTTGTGTCTTGTTACTTCACTTCAAATACTTTACTACTACCATTTCCTAAACTATTTTGTGTGCTAAACTCTCTCTATACAGTGGGGCAAAAAAGTATTTAGTCAGCCACCAATTGTGCAAGTTCTCCCACTTAAAAAGATGAGAGAGGCCTGTAATTTTCATCATAGGTATACCTCAACTATGAGAGACAAAATGAGAAAAAAAAATCCAGAAAATCACATTGTAGGATTTTTAAAGAATTTATTTGCAAATTATGGTGGAAAATAAGTATTTGGTCAATAACAAAATTTCATCTCAATACTTTGTTATATACCCTTTGTTGGCAATGACAGAGGTCAAACGTTTTCTGTAAGTCTTCACAAGGTTTTCACACACTGTTGCTGGTATTTTGGCCCATTCCTCCATGCAGATCTCCTCTAGAGCAGTAATGTTTTGGGGCTGTCGCTGGGCAACACGGATTTTCAACTCCCTCCAAAGATTTTCTATGGGGTTGAGATCTGGAGACTGGCTAGGCCACTCCAGGACCTTGAAATGCTTCTTACGAAGCCACTCCTTCGTTGCCCGGGCGGTGTGTTTGGGATCATTGTCATGCTGAAAGACCCAGCCACGTTTCATCTTCAATGCCCTTGCTGATGGAAGGAGGTTTTCACTCAAAATCTCACGATACATGGCCCCATTCATTCTTTCGCTTACACAGATCAGTTGTCCTGGTCCCTTTACAGAAAATCAGCCCCAAAGCATGATGTTTCCACCCCCATGCTTCACAGTAGGTATGGTGTTCTTTGGATGCAACTCAGCATTCCTTCTCCTCCAAACACGACAAGTTGAGGTTTTACCAAAAAGTTCTATTTTGGTTTCATCTGACCATATGACATCCTCCCAATCCTCTTCTGGATCATCCAAATGCTCTCTAGAAAACTTCAGACGGACCTGGACATGTACTGGCTTAAGCAGAGGGACACGTCTGGCACTGCAGGATTTAAGTCCCTGGCGGCGCAGTGTGTTACTGATGGTAACCTTTGTTACTTTGGTCCCAGCTCTCTGCAGGTCATTCACTAGGTCCCCCCGTGTGGTTCTGGGATTTTTGCTCACAGTTCTTGTGATCATTTTGACCCCACGGGGTGAGATCTTGCGTGGAGTCCCAGATCGAGGGAGATTATCAGTGGTCTTGTATGTCTTCCATTTTCTAATAATTGCTCCCACAGTTGATTTCTTCACACTAAGCTGCTTACCTATTGCAGATTCAGTCTTCCCAGCCTGGTGCAGGTCTACAGTTTTGTTTCTGGTGTCCTTTGACAGCTTTTTGGTCTTGGCCATGGTGGAGTTTGGAGTGTGACTGTTTGAGGTTGTGGACGGGTGTCTTTTATACTGATAACGAGTTCAAACAGATGCCATTAATACAGGTAACGAGGGGAGGACAGGGGAGCCTCTTAAAGAAGAAGTTACAGGTCTGTGAGAGCCAGAAATCTTGCTTGTTTGTAGGTGACCAAATACTTATTTTACCGAGGAATTTACCAATTAATTCTTTAACAATCCTACAATGTGATTTTCTGGATTTTTTTTTCTCATTTTGTCTCTCATAGTTGAGGTATACCTATGATGAAAATTACAGGCCCCTCTCTTCTTTTTAAGTGGGAGAACTTGCACAATTGGTGGCTGACTAAATACATTTTTTCCCCACTGTATATATTCCCTAAACTATTTTGTGAGCTAAACTATTTCCCTAATATTGACTTTATATAGCAATTTTTTTATTTCACGGTTCTGTGATGTTGGTTAATTGGTCACAATTTACAAGTAAACAAAATATACATCTTTTTAAAATGATTTACATTTCATTTTAAAATTATTTTATTATTCAGAGGTTAATGACTGACCAAAATAACATTATTTTGTCACATTATGATTTGAACTGTTAGAAGTAGTTTTAACTCTTATATATTAATATATTACTGTTGTTATAATAAATTGTTTATTTTAAATTTATAATACTTGCGCAAACAAGTGGCATCTAAATGTTCGGGTCTCATTTTACCCTGATTACATAAACATGCCTCTCAAAAGCCACTTTCCACTTTCATGAGAGTTGTTTCTTCATGTAATAAAGTGTTTGTGTGAAGGTTCTGTTCTTCTTTTCCTGTGTATGTGCATGTGTCTGCCAACATTGCAGGTTCCATATCCACCCTAAAGGAGCGTTCTCATTGCAGCGTGGGCTGATTCCACAGGCCTATAAATGTGCCAGATCCCAAACAGAGCAATAAGCTGTGTATTTGTGTACAGGGAACCGGAGAGTGACGTCAGTGCCCAGCTATGATGAGGGGCTGAAGAAAGTAAGCCAGGAATGAAGACATCAAGATGGGTGTGTGCAGCCTTTAAATTTGATAAGCAGTGTGTACACACTCAGTTTAGAATTTGCAATGGGTATAGTTAATTGCAAATGGCACATTTGTAAAAACCCATCTAAAGTGATCTAAAGCAGTTGTGTTGCAAATAGCATTTGTGAACCTCATTCAATATGATGATTCATAGTTTTTAACATTACATTTAAACAAATGTTTTGTCAGCTGAACAATTGGCATGTTACATTGACCACACTGAAACTCTGTCTCTCACAACTTCCTGTCAAAAGATTATGACACTACCTTGACTTTAAGGTCTATGGAGTGAGGCAGTGCTCAGGTATATATACATTTACATTTAGTCATTTAGCAGACACTTTCATCCAAAGCGACTTACAAATGAGGACAATGGAAGCAATCAAAATCAACAAGGGAGCAATGATATGCAAGTGCTAAGTCTCAGTTAGCTTAACGCAGTACACATAGCGAGTTATTTTTAAATTATATAATAAATAAAAAGAAAATAGATAGAATAGAACAAGCTAGTGTTAGAGGCCCTTTTTTGCTTTTGTTAACTGTATAATAAATAAAAGAAAACAAATAGAATGCAAAAAGATTAGAGAAGTTATTATTTTTTTTCATATGATGTGATTTAAATTTTTCCTTTCTCTTTGGAGTGTTACAAGCTCTTGGTGCATAAAGAAGATCTGTAAAGTTGCAAAGACTAAAGTCTCAAATTCAAAGAGATATTCTTTATAAAATTGGAGAGTCAGCCACGCCTACCTAAAACGGCTCATTCTAACACGCCCCCACATATCTACCTCACTATGTGAGAAGATTTGCATAACGCCGCCCAAATGTGCACGCAAAGAAAGAAGGCGTAACTTTTATTCTCACGGTAGTATTGTTGTTGCCGCCGCCATGTCGTGAAGGCACTGTGTGATTTGTTGTGAAAGCGAAACTACTTTGTTTGGTCTTCCAAAAGAGGATGATATCTGCTTCGTCATGCCTGGAGCTGATCTGTGCTGGTCGCTGAGGAAATACAACAACTTAGTGCTGTGGATCGCCGGATCGGCTTTCACCGTGGACGAAGCGGAGTCCAGCCCGGGGTC